CCCGTGTCCTGCTCTGGGTCCTCCGCCCATGTCCCCCACCCCGTGTCCCGCTCCAGGTCCCCTCTCCGTGTCCCCCGCCCCCTGCCTGCTGTATCCCTGAAGACAAAAGCCCCACCGCACTGACCTGCTTCTCGTTCTCATCCTCCAGCCTCAGCCGATCTTCGATGCAGTTCCGGGCTTGCAGGAAGGCTTTCCGCTGGGAGCGCTCGGCCAGGATGCGCACAAACACCCCATACATGTTCACGCTGAGGAAGAGCAGGGCGTTGGCACCAAGCTGGAGGAGAGAACAGTACAGAGCACCAGGCGCGTGGGGCGCTAGCTCGACGGAGGCTCAACGCCTCCGACAGCAGCCTGCAAGACGACCTCACCTTCTAGGGTGCTGCGGGGCCGGCCTGACCCACGGCACGAAGTGGGCGTCACATGACTACGAGCCGTCAAGGCGGGCACATCCCTCCTCCTGGGCTCGTCATGGGGCAGAACGGTATGCCAGGCGCGTCCCCCAAATTCACGTGGAAGCCCTGCCCCCCAGGACCTCAGAGCGGGACTGCGTTTGGACATGAGATGTTCTAGGAGGTAATTACGTGAAAATGAGGTCACCAAGGAGGGCCGGAAGCCCGTGTGACTGGTGTCCTCATAAGAAGAGGAGACCAGGACACAGACACACAGGCCTCCCCGTGAGGCCCGGGGAGGAGACGGCGTCCAAGCCACTGGGCGGAGCTGTGCTGGGCGTAACAGTCACCCCAGGTCACCATCCGAGGAAATATGAGCGCGAGGAGAGAGCAGCCACTCCATGACCAAACAGCGGAGAGTAGATCAAAAACACTAGGAAGAAAGGACCACAGCACCATAAGCACAAAGCGTCACCCAAGGTGACTAAGCATCCAGAGTCCTGTGATCGGCTCTCGCTGCCTTCCGGGGACGGGAATAAGGAAGGGGCTGGCGAGAAGGACCCGTCTGGGGTGCCGGCCAAGGCCCACACTCGGAGGCTCGCACCTGCTGGACCAGGAAGGAGGCCCTGAGGGACGTCCTGCTTTCAGCAGCCTTAATTCAAGGCCAGTACAGACCACCAGGGAGCCCATGATGGTCACACCACAGGTCGTGGCAGACCCGGGGAGGACCGGACCACACTTCCCCACTCAGCCTCCTCTGCTGGTCTGTCCCACCTCTCTTGGGCACAGGGCACGGGGCCCCCAGGCTGTTCACAGAGACAGAGAAGACAGCCACCCACCTCCCCAGGGGCTGCGGTGTGTCTGAGCATCACACAAAGCCGTTGTCCTCAGTCTCTGCAGAGAGGTTGGGTTTCTGTGTCTGATTCGACGTGGGCATTTCCCTCAGGTTCTGAGGGTCACTGCTACTCCTGCACCAACCAGAAATGCCCCCCACCCAGCACTGTGACCCACACACAACTGTACGGGACAAAAGAAACACAGAGGCAGGCTAGCAGCAGTCTCTGGTCAGACAGCCCCGCCAGGGACGAGCGGGAGGGCAGACTGAGAGCCATGTGCATGGAGAGCCCGCAGCACTGGATGGGGCCGGAGCTGGGGCAGGGGGCTGGGGTGCAGAGCAGAGACCACACAGGCCACGCAGGGACAGACTGGAGCCCACGGAGAGCACATGGCACCTCCTGTGTCCAAGCCCAGGAGAGTGTGACATGTTCCTCAGGAGAGATACACAGGGCCGGGGTCACAGACAGCAGAGCTGTTCAATGAGGTGACAGGAACAGGAGAAAGCCGGGAACACGAATCCCCAGGGCCTGGCACGTGACCATCCTTGCCCGAAACCAGGGTGAGCTCGCCAGCACACCTGGCGGCCCAGGTTCGCATACACCTGCTGAAGCTCACGTCTCAACACACTCGGGAACGTACCCCCGGGGACAGCACCTCCCACACACCACGCCCTCCCTCAGGTCCAGGGAGCCGCCTGAGTCCTATGACCACGGTGCCCATGGTGACCTTGTTACCTCTGTGTGTCCCTATTCACCTCCATGTGACCTGCCCACCTCCGGGTGACCTGCCCACCTCCATATGACCCGTTCACCTCCATGTGACCCACTCATCTCTGTAACACCTGCTCACCTCCCTGTCATCTGTCTCCCTGCAACCTGACCATTCTCCATGTGACTGGGTCATCCTCGTGTGACCCTGGTCATCTCTGTCCCCCTAACCCACTGCCCCTCTGTAGCTGGAGTACTCCTTGCCTAAAGCAGGTGCAGGGCTGGAAGGAAATGCTTCTGTGATGCTGAACCAGCCTCTCGCCAGGCACGGGGGGGAGGGGGCTGGTGTGGCCCTCCTGGGGGGCCTGTGCCATGTCCCAGTGACCAGGGCAGTGTCCTCTGCACTCTCAGACCATCTGCTCCATTTGGGATCAGCTCCTGTGATCTGTTTGTGGAACCCCTTGTTGGAGGCAGCAGAAGCCCGGCACATATGAAACCACCAGGGGCGGTTTTGCAGGATCAGTATTCAAACGCATTCTGAGCGTGTTGCCCACAAGTAAGGTCCTGGGCACCCTTCCAAACTTCAAACAAGCACACGTCACTGCACGGAGCACGCGTCTCTTCCTGGGTAACACATGGTCCGTCTGGCTTCTAGTGCCCCTCCCGGCCTGGGCTTCACGTCCTGGAGGCACGCCGGATGCCCTCCCGTCCCGGCTGCCCACAGCGTCCACGCCGGAGCCCCGAGCCACCGCTCTCCCCAGCAGGCACACAGGCGGAGGACCAGGCCCTCGTGAGGGGCCAGCACCCACAGACAGCCCGGCAGTAGGGGGCCAGGAAGCAAGCCACATTCACAGGTGGCAGACAGCTTTTCCAGAAAGTAAGGCATCAGCTGGGCCCAGAGCAGGACTCAGAAAATGTGCTGTCCCCCCAGTGAGGCTGGGGCAGGGGCGGAACATGGGCTGAGGGGCAGACCGTCTGGTTAAGGGAGAGGTGGGCAGCAGAGTGGGGGCATGCAGGGCCACCCCTCTCCACACACCTTTGTCACACCTTCCCTCCAGTCAGGAAGTCCCCCCCAGGGAAACTGAGGCCCCACAGGCCGGTCACTGAGTGCCTGCCCGCCCTGTCCACACTGCTGAAACCCCTCACACAGAGAAGGAGTCAGTGTCCAGCAGGCAGGGTGAGGTGGGGGCAGAGATCTTGGGGTAGGGGGAATCCACACCCACATGGCCAGAGGCCTCCATGCCCCCCCCCACACACCTGCCCACCTGCCTCTCCTGCGTCCCTCACTCACTCCCACCCCCGGGGATCAGGGTCCCGTGGCAGGTGACACAACAGGCCACGCTGGCCCCCTAATCAGCATCAGTGACAAGGTCACCTGCTGGCAGGTGTGGCCCAAACGGGCTGAGAAGGACCCAAGCTCGGGGAAGGGTGTGTCGGGGTCCAGACCAAGCACCCCTAGAGCTGCAGGCTGGCCAGTGAGGGGGCTCCAATGCGGCTACCCCTCTTGGCCACCCCTCCCGGCCACCCCTCCCGGCCACTCTCTGGGTTTGAGGCCTCCCCGAAGGGCCAGCCTGCAGTGGTCAGCGCCCTCAGTCCCCACTCGCCTCCTCCCTGCTCTAAGGAAAGCCAGCCCCCAAGCCCCCGGGTTCCAGCTGCTCACTCCTAGGGGCTCAGGGCCTCCAGGCAGGCAGGCGCCTGCCTCATGGCGCCACAGGCACATTACAGCTGCTGCCCTCACAGCTCCTTAACCCCGACCCGACCCAGGTCACGTCCTGGGATGCTGCCCACGGGAGCGCTGGGCTCCTCCTTGTCCCTCGTGCCTGTGCAGTGCTCCTGCCTCAGTTCCTCTAGTGCTCCTCCAGCTGGGTCTAGGGGAGGGGGCTCAGTGAGTAAGGCCCCCAGCCCACACCTCCGGAGCCCCTGGTACCACAGGGGCCTGGATCCAGAGACCCCTCTTCGCCCAGACATGGGCTCCCCAGACATGCCGGCACCGAGCACGTGCCAGCCCCGGGCGGAATAGGGCAGAGCTCTCCCTGCAGTCTTGCACCTCTAGCCTCAGCACACCCGCCCCACGCACCGGCCTCAGCACACCTGCCCCACGCACCCATCCATCTACCCATCCATCCATTCATCCATCCATCCACCCATCTAACCATACAAACAACCATCCGTCCATCATCCATCCATCCAACCATCCTCTCAAACACAACATGAGCTGGGCTTTGGACCTGTGCCCACTCCAGGCTGGGCTGGCAGGGTCTCCTTGCCTTAGACAGGCCAAGCGGCTCCAGGAACCCAGGGGACCTCATGGGCCAACAGGGGTGACAATCAAACACCTACATCGAAGCACTTCTGGGAGATGAAAATGTGTGTGTGAGCTCAGCTCAGGGGCACACGTGGCCCACCCTGCCTCACACCAGCCCTGTCATACACATTTTCTCAGACGGGAGCTGAGGCCAATGGTCTGTCCAAGGTGACACGGGAATTACTGCAGAGCGACAGTGGTGCAGAGCCCTCGGTCCCGCCTGTGCCGGTAATGCACGTGGGTCACGGAGAAGCAGTCTCCGGTCAGGGAGCCAGCATCACCGCGAACAAGCAAACCTCCTGGAGCCATCCACCATGGCAACGCTCGCTGCCGAAAAGGCAGGGCACAGCATCTCAGACGTATCGCAGGTCCTGATCCCACCTGACCGCAGAGCACAGGAACCACAGGACCGCCCGGCTCGCTGCCTCAGCAAGAAGTCCTGTTCCCGCCCCATCAGCTCCGCGGATGCTGATGTTAACAAAGAGACACAGCTTTGAGTCATCAGCGGGGCACAAGGCTGCCGGTGGAGACTGCAGCGCGCCAGTGGCCAGAGCGGCAGGGAAAGCCGCCCAGGGCCCCTCCCGTGTTCCCGGGGAGGCGGCGGTGGGTCAAAGCAGACCCGCCCCATGGATCCCGGCAGACAGCCAGTGAGACAGGCACTTCAGGGAAAGGGACGGATCACCTGGAGACAGGTGCACGCGGCCCCCAGGCGAGCAGCAAACCCCCACGCCACAGAGGCACCTGCGGACCCTCGAGGGGGCGCCTGCAGGGAGGGATGGAGCTGTCCACCACGGCAGGCAGGCCCCTCCCCCCCGGCCGTGACCAACTGGAGGAGACAGGCTCTGAGTGGAGCTGGAGGTGGATTAAAAATGGACAGAACTGGGTCTGGCACATGGAGATGAGACCGGTTCCTGCAGTGACCACAGAGCCCCAGATCTAGCCAGGAGGTTAAGGGCCACCACCCGGAGGGCAAAGGTGGGAAGGCAGCTATCAAAAAGCATGAGACCACCTTGTGTCTATGTCCCCTCCC